CAAAAGCCTCCCCGATACTGTACTTGGGGACCTCTGCGTGCGTCTCAGCAACTTCGGTTCTTTAGTTGAGGGAAATGTTAGGAATGCGGCTACTGTGACAGCTGTGCCCCATGTTTGTGAGGGTGGCTACCATGTGCCCTCTGCTCGCTGCGCTTAGCAGGAAAGCTGGTGGCTTGGCAAGGGGAGGCCCTGTTTAAGAACGGAAGGATCTAGAATCGATGCTACGAAATAAAAACTACAGGGGGAAAGGGGACAAGGGTGAAAAGATCAGAGCGTTAGAAGCCGGCGTTCCGTTATAAATACGGAGCATTCCCCCCTGCAGCGGCCGGTGTTGAAAGGGGCCCAGGTGGTTATGGCATTGACACAGATAAATAAATAAGATATTGAGACATCGTTTCCTCACCAAGATCAGGAAGTGGAATCTCTGCCTATTTGATGTCACTCTATTAATGTGTCAGATACGTTGTAAAAAGTTATTGCATGGTTTTGAAAAGGGAGACATGCAAGGAGCAGGGAAATTCAAGGGAAGGGGTTTCGTGACTGTTTGGCAACAGAAAAGGGAAAGGAGAAAAAAAAAGCACACACGGAGGGTGTGTATTTAACTTAACTTTGTATTTTGCCACACATTGTTTTCATTTACGGCCGTGTCTGATGAAAACACACATTCGACATCACTGATAAATACAGAACTATCCAGGGCCTACGAGAAAGCCTGGCTCTGCTAAAGCTTCTGCCCATGGCGTCTGCTCGGGGCGGGGAGGGGCGGGGGGGTGTCAAGTATTTTTTTTTTCTCTTCGGTGAAATTATCTGCCAGAGAAACAATGAAGCGTGAAAAAGTACTATTGAGAGCGTGTACATCTACATATGCTTTACAACTGCTGGCTGTTACCTTTGGGATACTTCCCTTCTAATACACATATATGGATCTATCTTTTACATTTCAGTGGGTTTTTAAAACTGCTATTGCAGATTGAAAACAACTGCACCTGTTCCGTTTCGCACATCTCAAAGCCAGAAGCACCAGTGCGCTTTGCTAGGGGCCTGTACAGACGACCCTCAGACAAGGGGCATGGTTAATGAATATGGAGCTTATATATTTAATAGCCTTTTTCTCTAATGCAAACATCTTTGTTTAAAAGAGGAGACTAAGCAGAAGTCAGGGGCAGGTTGCATTCTACCACTGCAGATAATACTACTACTATCAACAATATATATTTAATGCACAGGTCTCACATAAATGTCATTTCATGAAATACACTGGTAAGTACATGTTGCTGGGGCTTCCAAAATGTGGCGTATCCCACTGATGGCTCCAACTTGCGAGTGGGCTCAGTTCTGTAATTGGAATGAAAGGAATTTTAACACTATTTAGACAAAGACTTAAATGAAGTGTAAAGGGAAAGCTACATTTCATTACATGATTTTTTAAACTTAAGAGACTTATTTGTAATAGGGGCGCTTAGGCAGGATTTAGGATTTCTTTGTTAAAAAAGCATGTATTTGTGTTCACCGCTCCAATCCACTTCAAAGTTTTAGGAATGATTATTTCTAAAAATGCCTTTCCCTAGGCGCTAACCCTCTCTTAAAAGCCAGCCACCAAAACCTCATTTTTGTCAGCACCCCTCTACTTTGCCTTCTAACACTTGGGGCCAAAGCCTTCTTATTATATTGAGCTGCCTTGTAGGGTTCTATCAAAATGCTTAATTGTTGCCCAACTGTATTTTCCTCCCAAGTCGCATTCCTCATGAGATAATTGCAATAACTCCATCCCGAATGTCACTCTTATGTTAAGAATGTGTTTGCCTAAAATCTGTCATCTGATGCTGAGCGTTTTTACATCAGTGATATCTTCATTTCTGCTTCTTTGGGGGGAGGCTGCCTATCTTGTAGTCAGGATACTATTAAGACTTTTGTTACGCAAAATTAAATGTGGATTTGGGAGCCCTATCACAACTGGCACAGAAAGGAAGGTCAGAATGTACAGGGTATGTGCTGTCTGTGAAAAAAAAGGGGGGGGAAGGAAAACAAGATGATAAACTCATCAGTGCCAAGCACAACCTGTTTTCTTCAAAATAAGGCCTTCGGTCGGAGTTGCAATATTATCTTTAAAAAAAAAAAAAGGAAAGAAAAAAAGAAACGGAAAATGAAATAAAACAAAAGTCATCGTGTTTGGCTCTGTTTTCAAAACAGTGTTGGCTTTGTCTAACACTCTATTAGTGCTCTAAGGGAAGTTGACCAAGAGTTGCACGAATTTGTGTCATTTTAAAATAGGTCAGTGCTGTTAGTGAAGGTAGCTCAGGACTTTCCAAATGATACCCAGGGTATTTTGGGGGGTAGATGTCAATAAATCAAAGCCCAGCCTTTATTCCACCACAGCATTATTTTTTGGCGTGTATTTCAGGAGCGAAGGTGATCTGAAATCATTACCAGCTCGTCTCAGTGGAGAAGCCCTCCGCTAAATATTTATAGGAAAGTATGATTTAATAACAGAGTTTAAACCCAGATATGTACTTGGAGTTCTGTAAGAGAAGGGCGGATTTTTCTTTTTCTCATTGAAGAAAAATGACCTTCAAAGTTAAAACACAAACAACTTTGATTTGTCCAAAGTGTTGATGTTAAATCTTGTCAGGCCTTGCTAACAAGAAAATCATGGTGTGTAAGGGAAGAAGGGAAAATAACCAGTTTTAAACCCCAAAGCAAGCATTGTTGATCTTTGCCATTAAATGCATAGATGCCCGAGCCACCCCTGCCATGCCTAATTTTCCTGGCTTTTTTCCCTAGTCTAGATGGGCACGCTGCTGGGTCAGGAGCTCAGGGCAATGCTGAGAAGGCCCTGCTGTATGGGAATTTTGTTTGTTTTCACCAGAGGGCAATGATAGTGCAACTCATTTGAAAACTGAAAACTTTGGGGTGCGGGCGGGGGTGTAAAATTTGAGAGGTTGTAATTTACATTTATATTAAATATTGCGAATTATTAAAAGGAACTGGCCTCCTCCCACCTCGAAAAACTGCCTATGTTTCACCCTGAATTATTGCCTCCCTACTCCTCCATTAATCCTTCCTCTGGAGAAATGGATGCATTTTACACTTCTAATGCGGTGTTGGGCCCAGTTAAACTGTACACTAAGAAACTGAGTGCAGAATCAAAAAAAAAATGCAGTTTATTATTGTAGATTATTCTTTCTCTTGATATAACCAGAATTGAAAATGAAAGAAAAGCACATAGGAACATCACGCGTGGTTAGTTAGTAACTCAAGATATAAAACAATTTTGCACAGCAAAATATGTAAAAGAAAAGTAACTGACAAGATTTTTTTATATTTATTGTGGTAAGATTTACTTTTCATTTTTTTTTTTTTTTTTAAAGACAGGATGTCAGTCCCTGAAAATAACATTTACTGATTATTGCCTTTAAAACTGTGGATTTTTTTAAGTTACAGAAAATCCAGTTCTGCACCACAATACAACTGTAAAAAAATCTGCATCATTTTAAAACTGTGCAGTAATGCCATTTTTATAACTGCATAAATTTTATTAGCGTTCTAAACAGTTTTGCAATTTTTTTTGTATTATATGCTTGCAGGTTATATCTTAGTGCAATTCAGTCCCAAATACTTTAATTTTGAAAAAAAAAAAAAACAAAAACATACATTTTGAATGTAAAATACCCCTACAGATATAAACAGGGGTGCTTCCCCTTTTAATACTTTGGTTTTCAATACAGTCAGTGGTATAGCAAAGACTACACATACCCAACTTATATTTAAGTTGCAAGCACATGCTGTATAAGCTACTTTTTAAACAGTCCCCTTGCAAACTCTACCCCCCTTAACATCACAACAGTAAACAATTTAGTGCATCAATCTTTAAAAAAATCTACAGCTAAACAGACCTAACTCTTTCAAATTTATCTATAACATTCCTTTATCTGTAGCATACATTTTAACTGGGCTAACAGATTATAAAAACTAGAATTAAATTATATACTAGAAACCCATAGCATTCCACATTTTGACAATGACCAAAAGCAAAAGAAAAAAAAAATAAAATAAAAACAAACCAAACCAAAAATAACGGGGCAGATTTCTTTTTTTAAAAAATAAATTTTAGACTGCTTTTGGCAACAGCACAATTTGAGTCCCCAAAGTGGGGTGTCATTCTTACTAAAAAGAAAACATTAAGAGTTCTTTAATGTTTGCCATGTCAAATGTTTAACCCATTCTGGCATCTTTGACAAGGAATGCCTTCAGTGCATTTACAATGGGAGGCTGAAGTTCTGGGTAACTCAAAGCAGTTTTGGAGCAGATGCAAACTTTCATGGGAAGAAGGCTCTAGGGTTGCACTTTTTCGTTCTGAACTCAAAAAGTCATGAGGCAATAAAACAAAAGTATGAATGCCATGCCATAAGTCTTCGAACGTCCATTTCCAAGCCAAAAGGGAAAAAAAAGAAAAAATAATTATACCATACATGTCCAGCATGCAGGCTTTTTTTTTTTTTATTAATATAATGTCTCTTTTCCATAAAGTCTTTGAAACAGTTATAGTTCATTGTTGCTAAGAGAAAGTAGCAAGCATAATAATGCATGAGATGAGAATGAGTTTTGTTTTGTTTTTTTAATGGCAGACTAACCTCTCAGATTTGGCATCATAAGGCCAAAACTCACAAGTCACACCCAGAAGGTTGATGCAGGCTTGATTGTGGCAGGTTCGTGAGGATATTTTTCCCCCTCTATTTTAGCATAACAGTGCTAAAAAAAACCCGATGGAAATCAGCACGCTGCAAGTCTCTAATATTTCACATTTTTTTTCCTTTGCAAGCTCAATCTCACATGAAGAACTCAGAAGGAGAAAAACAAAAAAACTTAGCTTTTTCTTTCTTTTATCTCAGAGGAGATGGGTGGAGAGGGAGTGAGGGTGGAGGTTTGGAAAAAAAAAAAAAAGAGCAACACGGCAAGCTCCAAAAATTAAAAAAAAAAAAAATCCAAACAAAATAAAAACACACAGAAAATGGAACACCAGCTCATGAACTGAAGAAGAAACAGAAAAAAAATATATGTAAATGATGCAGGCTTCAAAGGTGAACATGAAGAAGAACTCTGCTGAGATCTTTGAACATTGTGCAAGTGGGGAGGGGGGGGCGCGTAAAAAAAAACACACAACAAAAACAAAAAAACAAGCTACCAAGTTATGGAGAATTTCAGGTTGGCAATCCATGAGCCAGACATCCACTCCCTCCCCAATTTAAAAAGAGCCGCCACCACCAGCAAGTCGGAGCAGGGTGTGCGTGTGGGTCTGTGTGTGTCTGGGGCCACTGGAGGGGGGGCGCAAACTTAGGGGAGGGGGCGAGGTGGTGGCGAGCATGGCTGGGGGTCTAGCAAGCCCACACCCGAGTCGGACCCCCGCGGAGCACTTATCAAGGTGGCTAGCTGGGGTCGCGAGTCAGACTCACATGAAAAACTCGGGAGAGGACGGGTTGTCGCTGCTGGAGCCGTTTTCTCGGAAGCCGCTGCTCACCAACTTCTCGTATTTCTCCTTGTACGCGTCCCTCTCGCGCACCAGCCTGGAGATCTCCTGCTTGAGGTGGTCGACCTGCTGCAGCAGCTGGTTCTTCTCCGACTCCAGGACGTGTCTCTGCTGCACCCTCTTGAAGCGGCAGGACTGGGCATAGCCGCGGTTTTTCAGGGTCCGCCTCTTCTGCTTCAGCCGGATCACCTCCTCTTTGCTGACCCCGCGCAGCTGCCGGTTCAGCTCGCGCACCGACATGGTCACCAGCTGCTCGTCGGAGAACCGGTCGTCGAAGTGCAGGCCGCCGGCGGCGT